AATAACAGGAACAACAACAACAATAATGGGGTAGCATGAGGAATTTCTTTGGGGGTGATGAAACTATTTTGTACACTGATTGTAGAGGTGGCTACATGAATCTGTACTTGTGTCTAAAATCACAGAATCATATATGAAGAGAAAGAGGTCGATTTCACAGTATGTTAATTTTAAAAATTAAAATTAAAAAAAGGAAGCAAAGTCAAACAAACAGATTAACAAGGAAAGCAAGATATTTTCCCTTGTTTGAAGTATCTATTGGGTAGAGCACATGAGCATAAACAAGCAAAGTCAATGTTAAATGCACGGAAGGAATGGAAAAGCAGATTCTTGGATTGTGAGTTTCATAGGTTAATCCCAAGTTAGCAAATATGCTTGTTTGTGGCCGACTGTATTTCCCAAAATGCCTGCAACATTACATGTCAGCCTATCCTGCTACTCCTCCATCAAGAGGTCTGTATTCCTACCACTTGAATTTGAGATAGCATACACCAAGAGAGTATGGTGAAAGCTGCAGTATGTGCTTCCTAAGGCTAAGTCATAAAAATGCTATGCACTTCCTCCTTGTTCCCTTAGAACACCTGCTCTTAGAATCCAGTTAGTGTATTGTGAGGATTTCCAAGTAGCCTGTGGAAAGGCTTATGTGAAGACAAACAGAGGTCTTTGTCCACAGCCCTGGCTCACCTTCCAACCAACAGCCAGCACCAACCTGGCAACCCCATAAGAGCCACCTTGAAAGTAAAATCAAACTAGATGAACTGCCCAGAGCTTAAGAGGGTGTCAGCCAATCCCGCCTAAGTTGGCTCCTCATGAGCAAAGTAAATGATTGTTGTTGTTCTAATTCACTAAGTTTTGGGGTGGCATTTGACACAGCAATAGATAGCTAACAGAGTGTTTTTACTCGTCAGCACCAACAGATGAGACCTTCCAGGCATTCCTGGGATGGGATGAGTTTAGAGGAAGAGAATACATGACTGCTGAGTGAGGTTGTACATTGGGCATAGTACTGAGTGCTGACATCATTGCTATTTGTCTGTCCGTCAGATCCAGCACTCTCGCTTTATATTTGAATAAGAATAAGAATATTTGAATAAGAGACAGAGTGCAGGTGGGTTGTGATCTGCTGAAGATCACACAGATATTTCATACCAGAGCAAAAAACTCAGAACCAAGTCTTCTGATCTGCAGTTTAGTGTTCTTTTCACTCTGCCTGTCTCTTTCCAGTGACAGATTCCAGGGACCTGAGCCACAGGATATGGTGTAATAAATACATGCCAGGTGCTTCTCCTTACCCTTCTCATACCTGTGACAGACATCGTTAGTTAAGTACAGTGCTCTCCCAAGGTCACTGATGAGCATGGAGATTATAGACCCAGATTGTCATTATAGAATCTGAGTAGAACAATGCAAGAGCTATAACTTATTTGTATCAGGAGTGTCAGAAGAATACAGCAAAGGCAATCTCAAAACATAAGCTATAAAATGGTTTAATATGGAAGTGCATTGTGCATGAGAAAAAGGAAAGTATTTAGACATAACCACTTGGGATCAAGGATGTCTGAAGTGACACATAAGCTTTTTACAGAATTGACTGAGGAATCACTTCCTACATCTTTGAGGAAATCTGTTGTAGATTCTATTAGACAATGTTGTAGATTCTATTAGACAATTTCCATTTCATATTTAAAACTTATTTTGTGGGGTGCCTGGGTGGCTCAGTCAAGCATCCAACTCTTGATTTCAGGTTCATGATCTCAGGGGCATGGGATAGAGCCCCACGCTGGACTGCATTCTCAGCAGGGAGTCTGCTTGGGATTCCCTCTCTCCCTTCTCCCCTGCCCCCACTCTAAAATAAATAAATAAATCTTCAAAAAAACCCACCTTATTTTGTTGTTGGAAGAAAAGCTATTACTTTAGTTCTATAAAATGTATTATATATATAAAATTTGGCCTCATCCTGAATACAATAGACTTGGAATGCATACAACCCATTCAATAGAGCAGTACTGGCGTATGGTACAATGTGATGGTTCTGTTCTTCTTAATGCACTTGTCATTCAGAGCAAAGCAGGCTTAGAAAAAAAAAATATGATTTCTAGGGTATAATTTAAAAGCAAAGGTTATAAAGCCAGGGCATTCTGAATTTTAGGGTATGTCCCTGAGAACCAGATTCTCAGATACATTCAACACCGGACCGAGAGCAGAGCTTCTCTGAACTTGATTGTAGGAGAAAACACCCTGCAGAAGCAACCGCAACCAAACTCCCAGAAAAATAATGATCACTCTCTCCCTTTCTCTGACTCTGAGTGGGGCATGGGAGTAAAGTTAGGTACGAAGGTTATTCGAGTAAACCAAAGTGGCCAAGTTCCTTCCTTAATTCATTTGTTCATCAAGTACCTACTGTGGGCAAGGTCTGCTGTTAAACACTACTTGGAACACAAGGATGAAACAGGGGTTTTATCTTCAAAAGTTCTTTAGTGCAGACCCCATCCTCCTCTTTTAATAGAGTAAGATGTCAGAACAAGAGCCTAATAAGTTAGAAATCTAAGTATCAGCTAGTGGCACCCAAACACAAGAACACTGGGTTTAAGCATTAGAAGCAGGATACATCCCTACAATTGTCTACACAAATCAGCAGGCTTCAAAATATTAACCCAACCCTTTCCATCCCTCCCTCCCTCTCTCTCTCTCTTTTCGTTCTTTCTTTCCTTCTCTTCCCCACCCCCCACTTTCTTTTAACGTGGATTACATTATCATTTGCAATATTACTAATTGCTGGATCACTTAGATGCATTACTATGCTCTTAGGAAATTATTTCTGGTAATGAAATTCTTTTCATCAGTTCGACTTTCAGATTTGCAATACAGGCTTGTCCTTTAACAAGTAAGTGTTCTTTTCAGAAAAATATGCGGCAGATGTGGCAAAACAGAAATATAATATTCTTGGAAGTGGGCTAGTTTGGATAACAATTAAACTTTCATATTTGGACTTTATTCTTCTAGTAATTTCTGTCTGTAGCAAATTTTCACCAAGGTCAAAGTCATCATTTTGTGCAATTTATTCTTAAATCTTCAAACAAAGGTCAGTAAATTCTTGTTATATCTTTTCAGATTTTTGTAGTAAGGAGTTGTTGATTTATATTTCCCTCATTCTTTTCTGGAATAGAATATCTCGATAACTTCAACCAGGTTTTCCCAAATACTAGCAACTTGTGATTCAACGAATAAATGTAACCCGATTACTTCTCAAAGGCCTATAACATCTGTTTAAGTTCCAGGGCACAAGGACAAGACAGAAAATATCTAAAGAAAGTGGGCTCTGAAGTCAGTCCAATATGGGTTCCACGTAAGCTCTGCCATTCCCTGTGTGACTGCAGGTAAATTAATCTCACTGTGTCTCGGTTTCCTTATTTATAAAATGGGGATAAAGTGCACATTGTAAGGTCATCATGAGAACTAAGCACAATACAAGAAAGCAGAGCGCCTGGTGTATAATCAGAGTTCCTTAAATAATAATTTCCTTCTGCTTCCTTTTTAAAATGATGGTGCTAAAGCTCGGGATCTAATCATTAAAACAATCAGTGACAGATGCAAACCATTCAAGTTTCAATCAACTTTTCTGACACTTTGGTACGCAGAATATTTGACATTTCTCCTTTCTTCTTCATGGAAAAAGCACCCCCACATCAGGGAAAATGAAAAATTGGGGGAAAAACACCTATAATCTCATCATCCTAGCACTACAACAGTTTCCATTTTTGTCATGTCCTGGCTTTTATACAAAAAGGCCACATGTTCTGCACAGTCGCAATCAGACTGTGCTTTGCATGGCATCATCTCTTTCATTGTACTAAGAGATTTATTCCAGGTGATAGTGGGAAGCTGCCGAAGAGCAAGAAATGCAAAGCTGCGGAGGTGTTCAAGTTCTCTCACATCGTTCAAACCTTTCTCCTGCACAGAAACTCCACAAAGAGCTCCTCTGCTGTGTTCGTTACCCAGGGCGGTTTCTTTAAATTGTTTGACGTCAGAGAAGGAATGCTATAGCAACAGTCTGTCAAACTGGAATTAACTCAGAAGAAAGATGGGGGTGGGGAGAGGAAAACTGCTCCCGGGCGGTACTGACTTCAGAGGAAGCAAACTGGGTAGTTGCATTCATTTTCTGACATTTTAAACATTAAAAAGAAGAAGAAAGAAAGAAAAAGAAAAGGAAAAGGAAAAGAAAAAAAAAAAAAAACCTCGGTTGAGATGCCTATGATGTTTAACTCATGCAGAGATGAGCGACTCGCCAGGATCATGTGAAAGGCCTGGTTTCACCAGTAACAACTTCCAAGTATTGGTCATTTATTTAGAGGCAGGCTCTGTGCAAACGGCATCTCGTTTGATATGTTAGCACCTTTAGGAGGTAGGTATCATCCCTCTTTTGCCTATGACCAAGCTGAGCCCCTGAGACGTACACAGTCACCCGACCAGCGATGGTAGAGCTGGGATTCCAACGCAATTTAGTGTGACTCTGGGCTCCAGTTTACTTTCTTAAACGTAGAATTCCAGAATGTTAAACCTAAACGGGACGAGGTCTTCTACGTCAGCCCCCCATCCTGCCCACGAGCAAACTGAGGGTTCTGCGGTGCCAGGAAGGAAACCGGCCACACCACTTGGACGCTCTGAAGTGCGCTCTTGCGTCCAGGCGCCACAACGACAAGAAAACGAAACTGCCTGGGAATTAATGTTTTTCTTCTTCTTCTAGCAGGAAACGAGACAGAAAATAGGAAGCAGAAGCTGCGCGCGACGCCCGCCGCCGCCTTCGCCCCCTGTCCCCCCGCCCGGGCGACGCGCGCTCCAGGGTGCGCGCGCGCTCGCGGCGCGTCCCCATCGGGCCCGCGCGCCTCGTGCCTCGCGCCTCGCGCCTCGAGCCACGTCCCCGCCCCGGCCCCGGCGCGCCGCGGAGTTGGCTGCTGGGCGGCGCGGGCCTGGGTGTGGCAGGCGGATCTCGGTGGCGCTCCTCGCGGCCGTGCGCTTCGCTCTGCACGCCGGCTCCGCGCTCGAGGAGCTGCTGAGCTCCCCGCGGACTCAGGCAGCGGCCGGTCGACGCGGACCTGAGCTCCCTCCAGGTAGGCGGCGATCGCACGCGCCGCGGCTCGTCAGAGCGCCCAGCGGGGGGATCCCGGGCTTCCCGCAGGGGGCGTGGGGCGCCTCGGGGCCGCCCCGCCGGAACCCCGCCGGGTGGTGGCGTGGGGCTGGCGCGGTCGGGCGAGCTGGGTGGCGGAGCCTGCCCCGGAGGGACGGGACGGGCGCGCCTTGGTCGCGCTGTGCTCCCGCACGGGGGCCAGCCGCTCGGCCGCCGCCTCGGGCACTTCCTGGGCTCGGACTGCTGGCTCTGGGAAGCGAGGGGGCGGCCTGTAGTCCCTCGGCCTCCACACCCCCCAGGTCGGTCCCTACGCCCCGAGGCCTCGCGGGGGGACTCAGAGCGCGAGCTGGTGGTTGCCCCGAAAATAGCGGTTACTCGGGACTGCCCAGAAGGGTTATTGGGTGGAGAGCTCTGGGAAAGCTCATAAAAGTTTTCCGCTGAGTGCTAAAAATGAGTCTAGCGGTTTCGTGTTAAATTTGTTTTGGAAAAGATTGTGTCCAGTATTGGGGGTGGGTGCGTAATGGATTATGAATTCTTGTATATTCTGTACATGATAAAATGTTTTTCCTTTTCTTTCCACATTTCTTTTTCTGCTTCAAAACACAAATGATTGCCTTCTACTTTGGTATTTATTGCCATACGGTAAGGGAAGACTGAGTTTCCAGAAGTTTAAAAACAGACTTTCATTTGTTTATAGAAACGATGCTTTGTTATTTTGCATCTCTCTCTCGGTCTCTGTCTCTCTTCCCTTTTCTCCCACTCCTTCCCTTTCTCTTTTGGTAGAGGATGTGGATGCATCTTTTTCTCTTTTGGCCACTGGCAGAATAGCTTGGCGTGTAGATTAGCACCCTGCTGGGAAGTTTTCTTAAGACAATTGAGATTTAATTGTTGATCAGAACGCTCTATTTTCATTCCTTTTTAGTGTTAAACTGAGATTGTGACCCTGGAGTAGAGCTTCTAGAACTTACAGCACACACTGCTTATTTAAGATGAAAGTAAAGTCTTTTCTAGCCGTGGAGGAAAAGGACGGTTTGGATACATAAAATTGTATGCTTTGAGTTTCTTTGCCAGTATACATTTTAAGACTCGTTCCTATGGGACTTTTGGGTTATTACCGAGCTGTGGCTCTGAAAGTTTATTGTGTATTTCAGTATTTGGCTCAAGATCATTTTAAGATTTTCCGTATTGCATTCTGGTTTGTAGATGAATCTGAAACCGAAATAGAAGCTTTTAAAATACTGTTTTATTGAACGTGGTTAACTGTCTTGTGTATACACATTTGTAAAATTATAAAATTGGTTAACGTGGCTTGCAGTACATTCAGGTGCATGTCTGTGAGCCATAAGCATTGTTTACGAGGCTATTCTGAGTCATTGGTCTTTGTTAACTTGTAGAATTTCTTCTTTTGTAATTTTCCCCCGGCTTTGTTGAGGTATAATTGACACATAACATGGTATAAGTTTAAAGTATACAACGTGATGACTTGAGATTCATATACATTGAATAATGATGACCACAGTAAGATTAGTTAACATATTGATCACCTGTGTGTGCCAGTGGCTGTATTTAGTCACTTTCAAGTATAGAATACAGTGTTGTTAACAGTAGTAACCATACTGTACCTTATATCCCCAGAGTGTACTCTCTCATAACTGGAGGTTTGTGCTATTTGATCAACATCTCCCTAGAATTGTTTCTTTTAAGTCATTGGTGCTTTAGTATGTCAGCACATATTTTTACACTTTAAAAATAGATCTGGGACATTCTGAAAATTGAGAATTGGAACAAAGTATTGGACATTTTTCTGCCCTTACCAAGTACTGCGTGAGATCGTGTGAGTTCTGGGAGTTTTTAGGGCGTGTTACTAAAGTACTTGTTACTAATTCTTTAACTTGCTGACTGGTTTAACCTGCATTTGTTCTAGGAACTAATTATTAGACATTTGTTCTGGGCCAGGGGTGATGCTGTACGTTATTCTATTTATGTCTTACATGAACTTGGCAAAGTAGGCATTATCCAGTTCCACAGGTGAGGAAACTATGCCCCTGAATTCTTAAATGACTTGCCTGTGGTTATGTAGCTGTTCAGTCACTCAATTGGGATTCAAGGCCAGACCTCTCTGAACCTGAAGTCCACCTTCTTGCTTCTGTGCCACAGTGATTTTTTTGCCAGGACGTGAGGAATGACCCTCAGTTACTCGTTAGCACATTTGTAAACTTTCCAGTACATGCCAGAGATGTGGATTTGTTTTTCCAGTGTGATTGTTACCACACGGCTGTGTTAATTGTACAGATCCTTGAGTCAGCCCTTCTCTTCTCACCTCTCTGTTTCTGGTTCAATGCCTGGCTCAGAGTTCAAGACCTCCCTCCTCCCAGGGCAGATTTTCTCCTGTTGACATTAATAGGTAGTGAAAACTTGATTATCCTTCCAAAATAATAATCCCATTTTAATGTGGGTTTTCTAGAGCTATACATACAACTATTTTGGAAGGTTATAAACAACATGTGAGTCTCTTTTTCAATATGAGAACCCTCTGATATTCCTTAAATTAAACCAGAAGATATTTCTTTTGAAGAATTTATTTACTGACAGAGGGAGAGAGAGCGCGCAAGCGAGCAAGTGCGCGCACGCATGGGGAGCTGTAGGTAGAGGGAGAGGGAGAAGCAAATTACCTGCTGAGTAAGGAGCCTGAGGCCATACTCTATCCCAGGAACCTGACCTGAGTGGAAGGCAGAGGCTTAACCAACTGAGCCACCCAGAAGCTCCGTGTCTCCCATCTTAAAATTCTTTTCTTGATCTACTGTTCTGCCCTGTGTCTCTGGCTCCACGTTGAGAAAGCATCATTATTTTTTTTTTTGAGAAAACGTATTTTTTTTTGATAGAATAAAAATAAATACAGGAGAGGATATCTAGAAACTAGTAAGTTACCTACAGGGCGTGGCTAGGAACTTAGTAGAAGGCATAGTGGAGGGAATGGCACTGCTGTGATTGTATCTTTTTGTATAGTTTTGGAAACTTGTTTATGTTTTATATGTTCAAAAATAAAATTAACAAGTTTGAAATAAAAAACCTCCAAAATTGAATACAAACAGTAACAGAGGAACCAACTATGTTTCAATGAATAACATGAACTCTCTGAAGAAAAGAAAAATCCAAGTAAGTTTTTAATACAGCACTTTAACTATCTACCTTAAATCTAAAGATAGAAAGGACTGCAAAAATAAGAAATCTTGAACCCTGTGTGGTAGAGATACAGTAACTCTTGAACTATTTTGTATGTATCATAGAAATGAGCAAATGAGTAAATTCACTGATATTTTTTGAGGTAGAGTTTTTACTGTGGGAAAAGGGAAATAAAGATGAAATGGAAGAAGGCAGTGAAGCACTCTCTGGTGTTCGATTGGATTTAGAGTTACATTTTCTAGCTCTGTCTGATGGAAAGGTCTAGAAGCAATGACACCCTAGTAGCAGTAAGCACAAATAGTGCCCAGGTCTAAATGGCTGATTCCAGAGCTGGGGCAGGAATAGCAGAAGATTAGCCTAGAATACAGGGTAAGGAAGTATTCCCCAAAATGGTGGTGGTACATCAAAAAGACATAGGAACTAGCTTGAACAGCCAAATCTGGAAAAATTTGAGCCTCAAAATGAATAATGATAATAATGGGTTATAACCCATTGAATAAAGTAAGAATCCACAAGTTCATAATAAATAAAGGAAAAAGAGAAAGCATTCCCAAGTAGACTGCAAATAAAAATGTAGTAGGAGTAATAGAATTAGAAAAGTGACTGGCTTGCAACCATTATGGTCTTCTTGGTTCACGCCAGCATTACTAATGGAGAAAGCTGGATGGGGAGAAGGGTACTAACACAGTTTTCCAGTGGTCTTTCCAGAGATTAATGACCAACAGGGAAAAGGAGTACTTCACAGTGAAGAAATCTGGCAGACACCATCTCAGCCAACTGATCAAAGTTAACATCACCAGTAGTGGGATAAATAGGTTCCTCTTGGGGCCCCTGGGTGGCTCAGTTGGTTAAGCATCTGCCTTCAGCTCAGGTCCTGATCCTGAGGTCCTGGGATGGAGCCCCTTGTGTGTTCCCTGCTCAGTGGGAAGTCTGCTTCTTCCTCTCTCCCCTGATAGAGCTTGCTCATGCTCTCTCTCTCCCTCTCAACTAAATAAACAAAATCTTAAAACAGGTTCCTTTTGATGTGCTTGAACTGGGGACATCATTACTTTTCTGTGGTTTTTCTAAAATGCGTAACCAAAATCAATTGAGGGACCTTAATTGAGGGCATTTGGGTGGCTCAGTCGGTTAAGCATCTGCTTTCAGCTCAGGTCATGATCCCAGGATCCTGGAATGGAGTCCCCTGTTGGGCTCCCTGCCCAGGGCGGGTACTCTGCTTCTCCCTTTCCTCTGCCCCTCTCCCCTGCTTGTTTGCATGCACGGGCGCATGTGCTCATGTGTTTTCTCGCTCGCTCTCTCATGCATGCTCGCTCTCTCGCTCAAATAAATAAAATCTTCTAAAAAATGCTAAAAATTAAATAAAGGAAGTTTAAGAGCTCTGACAAAGTGCAATGAATAATCCTGGATTGGATCTTGGATCAGAAAATCTAACTGACCTAATACCATTATCAGGACATTTGCAGAATTTGAGTATGTAATGAATATTAAATAATAGTATTGCATCAATGTTAAGTTTCCTGAATTTGGTCATTGTACTGTGGATGTATAAGACAATGTCCTTGTTCTTAGAAAGATGCACAGTGAATTATTAGAAGTAAATGGTCAGAATATCTTCAACTTACTCTCAAATGGACAAGCAATACTTATTAGAATGAAAAGAGAATGATAAAGCAAACGTGGCAAACATTAACAATTAGTGAATAAATGAAAGGTCTAAGAGTATTGATTCACTGTACTGCTTTTTTCTTTTTTTTATACTACTTTTTTCAACTATAAGTTTGAAATTTTAAAAAATGAAAT